CTATTCTATTCTATTCTATTCTATTCTATTCTATTCTATTCTATTCTTTTGTAATAAGTTTTTTTTTTTTTTTGTATGTTAAAAAAATTCCATTCCATTCCATTTCATAACCTTTTTAAAATTGTTATTCCTTTGCTCAGGGAGGATATTTCGGTCAGATCAGGAACACGAAGAAATCTTCTCAGAGATTAAAAGATGCCCTTCTGGACCACGATCTTGCCCTCCCGCTGTGCCTTCTCATGGCTCAGCAGCGCAACGGCGTCATCTTTCAAGAAGGAGGGGAGAAACATTTGAAGCTGGTGGGGAAGCTCTACGATCAGGCAAGCTGAAGAGAATTGCATGTTTTTTTTAATTACCTTAAAATGTTTAACACACCACCAGGCAGACGAGTGCCAGAAGGCTGAATTTGCAGGATGCATAAAGGCTAATTGAGGAGGAATTGGGTGGGTTGGCTGAATTATCTGCGCTCTGCAGGTAATCCTCAATTCGCGACCACAATGGAGGCCAAACTTTCCGTTGTTAAGGAAGGTACTTGAGTTTTGCCCCATTTTATGACCTTGCTTGCCACGGTTAAGCAAATCACTGCGGTCGTTATATAAGTAATGTCGTTCTTACGTGAACCCGGCTTCCCCATTGACTTTCTTAGAAGGTCGCAAAAGGGGATCATGTGACCCCAGGACACTTCAACCGACATAAGTACATGCCAGTTTCTAAGCATCTAGATTCTGATCACATGACCATGGGGATGCCGCAGTGTTGCCTTATACCTGTCAGTTCCAAGTAATACACCCATTGCAAACTGACCTCCGAGGCAGGTAGATTCCTCAAAGAACAGTTTTATTGGATATATCATATTGGCACAGGCTGGTGAAAACCGACACTGAATGTTCCCGCGGCTTTCACCTAATTAAAAAAGAAAGTTTTCCCCTTTCCCAAACGATCAGTCCAATCAAGGTGCCATCCGGTTGCCTGGTAACTTCACTCCTCCTCTTTCCGACCACCTGAGGGTATGTCCTTGGTTCCCAGGAGAAAGTATTTTGTTTTGGCTACAAAACCCCAGCTATCTCTATTTCCCCCCCCTCCCTAACCCTCAGCTCCAATGTGGCAGCACTGAAGCCTCCAAATGGCCTCGGTCAGGTCAGCTTCAAGGTTGACAATGCCTTTTGGGTTTTTTCTCTTTTAGTGCCACGATACTTTGGTACAATTTGGTGGATTTCTGGCGTCTAATTTAAGCACAGAGGACTATATTAAGCGAGTGCCTTCTATCGACGTCCTCTGTAACGAATTTCACACTCCTCACGACGCTGCTTTCTTCCTTTCAAGACCTATGTACGCGCACCACATTTCGGTGAGTACACATCTCCCATACACAGAACCTTTTTCTTGATGCTCCTCAAAGGGGTGAAACCCATCCAAAAAATATGGTATATATTGCTAGCGTTTTCTTCTTTCTTTTTTCCTTACCAGTCAAAGTACGATGAGTTGAAGAAAGCGGAAAAGGGGAATAAGCAGCAGCAGAAAGTCCACAAATACATCACGTCTTGTGAGCTGGTGATGGCGCCTGTTCACGACGCAGTGATCTCCTTGCACCTCCCGAAGGTCTGGGATGATATCAGTCCCCAGTTCTATGCCACCTTCTGGTCCCTGACCATGTACGACCTTGCGGTGCCCCGGGGTAGCTACGAACGGGAAGTCAACAAACTCAAAGTCCAGATGAAAGCCATCGACGACAATCAAGACATGGTGCGTATTGAACTTCCAGTCGGAACATTTTGGGGAGTCTTTTTTTTTTAAGCTCTTTGCAAACTACCGTGTTTCCCCGAATATATGACCTACCCCGAAAGTAAGCCCTACGTATGTGGGGTGTTGTTGTTTTTTTACACACATGCCCAATATAAGCCCTTTCCCGAAAATAAGCCCTAATTAAGACCCCCACCCACTCCAGGGTGCATGGGTAAAAATTAAGCTAGGGTGGGGATGGGGTGTTTGGAGCTCCCCTATTACTTACGTTCGGACAGTTGCAGCCAAGACCTTGCACACCCCGACAATCCAGAGCTCTGTTATCAGCTGTAGAGGCCTTCAGAAAAGCCTTGCCGGCCACAGAAGCAGTTCCTAAAGGCCTCCGACAATGAAAAGGAGGCCAGGGGCGACACGTGCAAGTGAGATGAGTCAGTGGAAGACATCCCACTGAAAATAAGACCTGGTGCCTTTTTTGGTGGCAAAAAAATATAAGGCAGGGTCTTGTTTTCGGGGAAACACGGTACTTAGATTGTGAAAATACAGGTAATCATCGGTTTAACCACCACAATTGGGCATTCTCAACCAAGAAGCTTCTTCCGTTCTGAAGAACTGAAAACATTTTGCTTCTCAACCAAGAAGCTTCTTCCGTTCTGAAGAACTGAAAATGTTTCGCTTCTCAACCAAGAAGCTTCTTCGGTTCTGAAGAACTGAAATGTTTCGCTTCTCAACCAAGAAGCTTCTTCGGTTCTGAAGATCAGAAATGAGTGATGGGTTGCCCCCGGTTTGGACCGGTTCTATAGAACCGGTAGTAAAACTGGTGTGAGGCTCCACCCACTGACCCTGATGTCACCAGAAGCAATCTGCACATGCACAGAAGCAAGGCGCACATGTAATCCCGTTGCGAACCGGTAGTAAAGGTGATGTCAGCACTTCAAGCTGCATTTACTCTAGTGCTGACATAAGAAGGAGAAGCGAAGGCATCTGGAAAGGGACATTTGACTTTTCACCTACTTATTTTCCCTGGAGATAATATCCCCTAGGAGATGGGATGGGAGGGGGGAAATTCCTTTGAGCTGGAGCAGTAGATTAGGGGTAGAGTGACTTGGAAGATGGCTAATGAGTGCAGAGGAGTGGGGAAAGGAAAGGGAGGGTTTTGGGTCAGGAAGTCAGTGTTGGCTGCGATGGAGTCGGAGGTAGAATGTCGTGCTTAACAAATGGGAGTTTTTCATCAAAGATTTTGTTTGAAATGCAATTTATTTGAGACCACCTCGAAACCTGACAGGTAAATAGAACGCACCCCTGACTGAAATGTTTCGCTTCTCAACCAAGAAGCTTCTTCGGTTCTGAAGAAGAACTGAAAACGTTTCGCTTCTCAACCAAGAAGCTTCTTCCGTTCCGAAGAAGAACAGAAGAAGCTTCTTGGATGACAAGCGAAACGTTTTTCAAGGAAGAAGAAAAAACCCCAAGAAAGTCTAGTTGCCTTTCTGGAAAAGCACCTTTGAGACGTGGAGATTCACTTGGCAAGCCAGGACCGTGTTGTGAATGCCCTTTGTGTTGTTTCCCAAGCCTCCCAATAAAAAGAAGAAAGAAAAAGAACGCTGCACAGCCCTTCAGGATAAACTTCTGGAAGAGGAAAAGAAGCAGTTGGATCACGTGGAAAGGGTGTTGCAAAGGCTGAAGCTTGAAAAGGACAACTGGCTTCTTGCGAGTAAGTTGCGCGGGGTGCTCCTCAGTCCTGCCCTCAGTGGGTTTTTTTTTTTTCCTCAACCTTGCGCGCTTTAAAACATCTGGACTTCAACACCCAGAATTCCCTAGCCAGCACTGGCTCTGGAATTGTTCTGACCTAGGCTCCCTTAAAAAACTGGAAGCCGAGTCTTGGTCCCGGCAAAACCTCTTTTATTTACACGACTGTGAATTCCTTTCATTCACAGTCAGCAAGTCCTGTCCAAACAGTTTTCCAAAGGAACATTTATCAACACAGACCTTATCTCGCTTGGAAGGCTGCCACATAACTACCGTATTTTTCGGACTATAAGACACACCTTAGTTTTTGGGAAGGAAAATAAGAAAAAAGCTGATTGGGGGTGGATCGGCCTCCCGGAATATCCCCCAATCAGCTGTTCCCAGAGGTGAACTTTAGCAACAGGTTCGTTGGTTCTGAGCTCTGTGCCTTGCTTTTTTTTTTTCAGCCTCTGAAACCTCCGTTTCAAAGGCTTTTTTTTGCAGCCTCTCAAACTGAGATTTCAGAGGCTTTTTCCAGCCTCCGTTTCAGAGGCTGGGCGGGGCTACATTCGGACTATAAGACACACCCAAATTTTCACCCTCTTTTTGTGGGTAAAAAGGTGCGTCTTATTCTCTGAAAAATACGGTAGTTTCCAAACGCAGTACAAGGCAAAACTTGGCACAGAATCTCTCAGAGTCACGGAACGAATGAATTGTTTCCTGCAAAAGCCCACTCCCCGTTCGCTCCTCTTTTGTTTCCTGTGGGAGGGGCCAATCACCTCCAAGGTGTGGCTTTACTCCGAAGTCAACCCTGCTTTCTTAGTTGTTCTTGTCTTCTGGCAGCTCTGCACATGTGCACACTGGGAACAGGATCCAGCTGTTCCTCTGCCTCACTGCTGTCTAGCTCCCTCTCTGCCTCTGACACAGAGCCCTCATCCGAGGTTTCCCCAGCCCCCAGAACTGGCCCATCTTCCTCCCCAACCTCCTCACTGTCCCACTCTCCTGCAGCTCTGCTGGCCGCCGGTGGGCCACAACAGGAATCCTGGCAGTTGAAATCCAGATATCTTAAAACGCCCCCAGCCGAGAAACACCGTCCTAGACACAAGGGCGTAACAATAACCATTTCCTCTCTCCTTTTTTTTTTTAAGAGTCGACGAAAAACGAGACCATAACCAAGTTTCTGCAACTGTGTATATTTCCTCGCTGTATCTTTTCTGCCATCGATGCTGTTTACTGTGCTCGCTTTGTAGAACTGGTGCATCAACAGAAAACACCCAATTTTTCCACACTGCTTTGTTATGACCGAGTAAGTCACTCTTAAGTTTGGTCTCCTGTTCCCTCAGAATCATTGAAAGGCCCTTTCTGCCAGGGAAAATAGACACTTATGTGAATGTCCATATCTTCTATCTATCTATCATCTATGTATCTACCCACCCACCTACCTACAGTACTTACCTACATACCTATCCACCCACCTACCTACCTATGGTACTTACTACCTACCTATCTATCTTACCTCCATCCATCCATCCATCCATCCATCCATCTATCTATCTATTATCTATGTATCTATCATATCATCTATGTATCTACCCACCCACTTACCTACAGTACTTACCTACATACCTATCCACCCACCTACCTACCTATGGTACTTACTACCTACCTATCTATCTTACCTCCATCCATCCATCATCTATCTATCTATCATCTATGTATCTATCATCTATGTATCTACCCACCCACTTACCTACAGTACTTACCTACATACCTATTCACCCACCTACCTACCTATGGTACTTACTACCTACCTATCTATCTTACCTCCATCCATCCATCCACCCATCTATCTATCGATCTAACGATCTATCTATCTAACTATCTGTCATCTAATTTTAAAGGTGCCTATCTCCCTCATACAGGGACCCTGGATGGTGTACAAATAAATTTTACTGGAAGATTTTTTAATTCATTTTTTATTTACTGTAGACAGCAACAGATTAACAGCAAAATTAGCAGATTAGTAATGAAAGAAATAGTGGATGATAAATTTACACAATGGCTTAATGCCTGCTTGCCAGATTTTTGCCCTCACCTGTCTCCTCCTCCTCCTCTTATACTTTCATTTTAACAAAATAGAAACCTACAAAGTCCCAGACTGATAATCCCAGGGGAAGTTTCCTCTTTAATGTGTGATTTAAAGGAACCAAAAAAAAAACAACAATCCCAAAACCATTGAAACGCTAGGAATATTGAAACCCCTTTCTTTTAGCTTAACAGGTTTTTCTTTTTTTTTAATGCCCGAATTTCTTCTAGGTCTTCTCCGATATCATCTACACAGTAGCCAGCTGCACTGAAAACGAAGCCAGTCGATATGGTAGATTTTTGTGCTGCATGCTAGATACCGTAACCCAGTGGCACAGCGACAAAAGCGTATATGAAAAGGTACGTTTAAAATACATGAACACCTGACATGTTTTAAGGAAGGGAGAAACCCCGCTGGGATTGGTGTGGCAGGATTTGGTGCGTTCCAACGACGTTCTGACTATCCAAAATATCCAGAATTTTGACTGAAGAATGTACTCAGATGACTAACGAAACGTCTCCATTTTAATAAACGTGGTCCAGTTGCTCTGATTTAACCTTTTGGCCTGGATGATTGAGTCTTCACTTATATATATTTAGAAAGGAATCGGGAGTCAGTGGAGATAATTTAATATTGGCGAAAAACCATCCAAAGAGCCACGGTGGCGCAGTGGTTAGAGTGCAGTACTGCAGGCTACTTCTGCTGCCTGCTGGCTACCTGCAATTTGGCAGTTCGAATCTCACCAGACTCAAGGTTGACTCAGCCTTCCATCTTTCCTTCCAAGGTGGTTAAAATGAGGAGCCAAATTGTTGGGGGCAATATGCTGACTCTGTAAACTGCTTAGAGAGGGCTGTAAAAGCACTATGAAGCGGTATATAAGTTTAAGTGCTATTGCTTGTAAAGGAGGGAAGGAGGAAGGAAGGAAGGAAGGAAAGGAAGGAAGGAAGGACGTCGTAGTGGCACAGTTATTACAATGCAGTATTGCAGGCTGACTCTGCCCACTGCCAGCAGTTCAATCCTCACCGACTCATGACTCAGCAGGAGCTACTCTGCACCTGCCAGCAGTACTCAGCTCAATCTATGTGGTATATGAGTAAATTCGAGAGTGGGTAGAAGATGAGAAGTAGCAGTAGGGACTCTGTAAAAGCTTAGAGAGGGCTGTAAAAGTGAAGCGGTATATAAGTCTAATTGCTATTGCTATCCTAAGTTTTTCCGTTCTTTCATGCAGGAATGTGGTAATTATCCGGGCTTCATCACTGTACTGCGATCCAGTGGTTACGATGCTGTGAACAAAGCCGACCAGTTAGATTACGAAAATTTCCGACACGTGGTACACAAATGGCATTATAAATTAACCAAGGTAATTCAGGAATGGCGTTGAACTGAGCCTGAACCATGGTGAGGAATGTCTTGTGTCCGATGTTATTTTTCTGTTTTTTTTTTTTTCCCTTTCCAGGCGTCCGTACACTGTCTGGAAACCGGGGAATATACACATATCAGAAATATCCTGATTGTGCTGACCAAAATTTTGCCGTGGTATCCAAAGGTGGTGAATCTGGGCCAGGCCTTGGAAAGAAGAGTCCGTAAGATTTACGAAGAAGAGAAAGAAAAGAGACCAGACCTATATGCGTTAGCCATGGGGTAACAAAACCATTCCCTTTCCACACAACGAAATTTAAATTTTCTATCAAAAAGACACTCCCATACGCTGCAGAAGCTCAATTTTTAGATCGACTTTTGATCTGAGTTTTGAGTTTTGACCGATGCTGAAAAATTGTATTATCACTCATGCAGGGGACAGTGGTGGTGGGGTGGGGTTTTTCTTTCTTTTTTTTTTTTAATTGTAAAATTGGTTTATATGTACATAAGAAAATATCTTGGATTTTAACCAACCCAAGAATCTTTTTCTCGGGGCCCAAACCTTTCAGAGTTTACATCGTGTATCCTCTGGTTAAATAAAATTGACAAAGAGCAGAGGGAAATGAAAAAAAAATATCACACCGTTAAAAAGTTCAACGCCTTTGAATTGGCAGCCTTTCTTGATTAAGTGATCACCCAGGGAGCTTATCTAGATCAGTAATAGAACAGAATTGAAGTTTTCCAAAGAACGGCACGAGAGGAAAAAGGGCCTGGGAGGGTAGAGGAAGAGGGAAAAAAACCGAAAACAAATAAAAGAGCTATTCCAATAAAATTCTTGCCAAAGTCAGAAACAGCCCAAGGAGAGAGAGGAAAGGCTGAAATTGATGGTCCTTTTGGAATAGGAGTTGGTTTTGCTTCCCTTCTTTCCTTCAGATCACCTGGTAGACTGACTAATGCCAGGTGAAGAAAAGAAACTCGCGTACAGAACCGAAATTCCATTTTTGATTTCTCTGTGTTGGCCTGGTCCACACAGACTACAGGTATTTTGTGCCCCAAATTTTGGCCGGTCAAGCAAAGAGATTTGTTAAAGTGAGTTTTGCCCTATTTTATGACCTTTCTTTCTTGCCACCGCTGTTAAGTGAATCGCTGCAATGGATAAATTAGTGAAATGGTTGTTAAGTGAGTCTGGCTTCCCGATTTGACCCTACATTGTTTCTTGTCCTGCCCTCTGGTACCTTGGAAAAATAAGTTGACCCCTTCTTCTTTGTGGCAACCCCTCAGATATTAGAGTACTGCTATCATGTCACCCCTAATTCTTCTTTTCTCTTGTCTAGCCATACCCAATCCTGCAACCGGTCTTCATATGTTTTAGTCTCCAGCCCTTCAATCATCTTAGTTGCTCCCCCTTCTCCTCCTCCTCCGCCCCATTCCTTTCTAGCACTGATGCTTGTCTGACGGTCGCAAAAGGGGACATTATTTATTAAATTTATATGCTGCCATCTTGTCCCTCTTGCCTTTCACCTTGTATTTTTAGACAGGCTATCCCTCTTTTATAATCTGGGATTACAGGGGTGGGATTAAATTTTTTTTTTTAAATTTTTTATTGGGTTTTAACAATTAAACAATTCTTATTCAACTCTTGTGCATGACTCTGATCATTTACATATCATCTCACTAATGTTCTCCTATACGCTATATAATTTTACAAAATCTACTGTCTGTTATTTCCCTTTTTTTCTATCTTCAATCCAATTATACCATTTCTTCCATATTACGTAAAAGTCTGAATCCATCAGTCCTTTCAGTTCCAATGTCATTTTATCCATCTCGGTGCAATCTAACATCTTTCTAAGTATTAAATTTTCGAAGGGTATGTTTGAACTTCTCCAATATTGCGCAAATGCCAATCTTGCCGCCTTTGTCATATGTAGAATAATATATGTTGTTGTTTTTTCATTTTTTTTTTCATTATTCCTAGAAGAAACAATTCTGGTGTATATTCTATCTGGAAGCCTGTTACTTCCTGTATCCATCTATGTATTTCTATCCAATATTTTTTTGTTTCGGAGCATGACCACTATGTGTGAAAGAAGGTACCTTGCTTTTGTCCACATTTCCAACAGTTGGGGTTTAAATTTGGATATATTTTTGCCAGTCTAGAGGGTGCCAAGTACCAACGGTAAAACATTTTATATTGATTTCCTTTATATTTTGCCGATCTGGTTAATTTATAATTTTTGTTCCAAATTATTTCCCAATCCTCTAATATACTCTGGGATTCAAAATTTTTAGCAACCGGTTCTCTGCCTGGTTGCTGGGTGGGCGGCGCCAGCCAGTCCTTGCAACTACCAGTTCGGTGAACCAGATGTAAAATTAGCATCCGATTCGCCTGAACCAGTCTGAACCGGTTGAATCCCATCCCTGCCTGGGAAACAATTTAAGACTAGCCATATGTTTCTGTTCAAATGTCAGCAGTTTGTATTAGTCTTCTGAAAGCTAGCAAAAGGATATTTCGGGCAACCAGAGATACTTAACAATCCAAGTCTCTTGAGGGTTAATGTCACCCCAGAGTCTTAAGAGAACCACACACACTCTGTACGAAATCCAGAGTTGGTAGAAAGGCAACACCGGAACAACTACAGTGGGTTCACTTAACAACGGTGGCAAGGAAGGTTGTAAAATGGAGCGAAATTCACTTAACCAATAACTCCCTTAGCCGCAGAAACGTTCGGGCTCAAACATGGCCGTACGTACTACCCGTAACAAAGGCGATTGTGAAAACCCGGAATTTTTTCTTTCGTTTTTAAGGTTTTACTCCCGTGTTTCTCTTTAAACGCCAGCAGTTTAGAGCGCAGGCAAAATAAAAATAAAATTAGAATAATTTTGGACAGCTTTGACAATGAAGGTCTCATAAGGACTAAGCAGTTGCGGGAGGCTTAAGAGAGGATTCTGCAAAACCTAGACACACAAACACACACACACTTGTGCCAAACCAAGCATTAGTGAAAAAGACTGTGCCGGTAGTGAAAATCTCTATTTTTTTTCTTTCCTGAGCAGCAGCGTTTTCGAGTGTCTCTCTCTTTCTCCCTCTCCCTCTCTCTCTCTTCTCTCTCTCTCTCTCTTTTCCTCTTTCTTTCTCTCCTCTCTTTTTCTCCTCCTCCTCTCTCTCTCCTCTCTCTCTCTCTCTCTTTCTCTTTTCTGCCTATGTGTTTTGCCCCTATTTAACCCTGTGTGCGGCTTTCAGCTATTCTGGCCAACTGAAAAGTAGAAAAATGGTTCCTGAAAACGATTTCCATCAGAAGGACCTTCCGACCCGAAACGCAGTGCCCACCATGGTTCAGAACGGGCCAGGGGGAGCAGGGCTGCCTCCGCTCACGATAAACGCAGCGAAATTGGAAGAAAGCACCGCCGAGGAGACAGGTGGGTCTTTCGCTACCATCATTGCCGAACCCTCGGTTTTTTATGGACTAACTGCGGGATGTGGGCGGGGTGGGTGCCGGCCCTTAAATCCCTGAGATGCAAATATACATCAATTGCATCCTTTGCCTGTGGTTACCTCATTTGCATAAACGTACTCAAAAATGTGTAAGCGTAAAACGATCTGGATGTAGTGTTTATTCAATGCCTGTGGTCGCCTATCTCATTTAAGCGACTGGATGGGAAACTCATCAAGGAGAGAAGCAACCTAGAACTAAAGGGGAAAAAAATCCTGACAGTGAGAACAATTAACCAGTGGAACAACTTGCCTCCAGAATTTGTGGGTGCTCCAACACTGTGTTCTGTCCCCGTCTCACACACGGACCCCCACAGACAGGCAACAGTTAAAGAACTCAGCCGACATCAGTTTATCCGGTATCAGAATTGGCAGCAACCCAGTGGCTGGCTGCCAGGTATTCTTTACTCACGAGGGGGGAGTTTCTCCCTTCGTCCGGGAACAAAGCCAATACACAATAATCAACAAAGTCCAGTAAATACAAAGAAGGTCGTCCGATATCCGTTTTTTGCTTGTCACAGAGCTGAACCGGCCACCACACCCTCTTTTATACCCTGTGGGGTGTGGTCCAATGACTCAGCCTAATCCCTGGCACGCCTCTTCTTCTGTTGCGCGCGCTTATCTCTGTGACGGTGCCGAGGATCCAGCCAAGACTCATCTCCCTCATTACTGTCCACCTGTGGCTGCATGGACGTGCTTGGCCACGGGCCTATCTCTTGACCTTCGGCAGACACCGAAGGCATTGCCCGAGAGGAGGGTCCTGGAGAGCGAGGCCTTGCCAACTCCTCTCCTTCACTCTTGGAGTCCTCTCCTGCCGATAACACAGGCTTAGGTAACGGAGCCACAACACACTGGAGGTTTTTAAGAAGAGGTTGGACAACCATTTGCCTGAAATTGTACAGGTGTCTATGGAGATTCTCAAGTCATCCAGGTCATGGTTGTCCCAAAGGTGCTTTTTTCAAGAGGTAGCTGGACTTTCTGGTTTTTCTTTGAAGACGTTTCGCTTCTCATCCAAGAAGCTTCTTCAGCTCTGTCTGGATGGTGGAATCTTTCCATTCCCCACCATTTAGTCAGAGCTGAAGAAGCTTCTTGGATGAGAAGTGAAACATCTTCAAAGAAAAACCAGGAAGTCCAGTTGCCTCTTGAAAAAGCACCTTTGGGGCGAAGTGGTTTTCTTCTTGAGCTGGGGGTGGGGATTAGAAGACCTCCAAGGTCCCTTCCAACTCTGTTGTTATTCTCACTCCAAGCAACTCCTAATGGATTAAAAACAATCCCATAGAAACAAATTGGAAAACCACGAAACAGAGATATGGCGTGAAATGACCTCAGCCATCCAGCTTTGGCCTCTAATTGGGAGAGGGACCGAAACTGAATTCATTTGTTTCCATTTGCAGCCAAGATTTTATTATTATTTATTATTATTTTATTCTATGTGAGAAAAATCTACCGCTTTCTTTCCATAACTGGCTTTGGAAAGGGCTAGTTTACGCTCGTATGTATTTCTGTATTACTAGTTAGGCCCTGGTTTGCAAGCAAAATGACTGGGATCGTTTACTGTGTTGAAATCAAGCCTTGATTTCAATTGATCAACGAATACAAATTGGGGTTCACCTAATCCACGAAACCAAAGCGTGTTATCACTTATGGATGATCTGCATATGTACGTGTGAACCAACTCCTCTATGCAACATTGATCCGAAGGGAAAGATCCATATATACCAACGATCATGGTACATCGTTGCAGGAAAATATGTCTACTTCTTTGTTAAGACTTAAAATACGGATGGATCTGGACGATTTATGCCTTAAACCCGGTGATGTTTAACTTTCGGTTAATTAAAGAAAGCCAAGTAATCATCCTGTAGGCACCAAGCTGTGGTTTAAATAACATTTGCGGAGTTTATTTTCAGTACCTCCGTGGTATCATTTTTCATCACTACATTCTTCCTTCTCCCCCCCCCACAACCAAAAAAAAATCACCCCACAATCCATCTCCATGTTCATTGCAACTTGTCCAGTACAAGAAAGGTGATTTACTAGGGATGCTAATGGATTGTCATCTCTTCCAAAATGTTTACACTGTCACTGAATCGACGTTCGTAATTTTTTCCCTTCTTTTTTAACCAGATAAGTTGAAGGAGAAGTCACAGGGCGCAGTTAAAGTGGTCAGCAAAGCCGCCAACGCGACGCCCAAGGTGATCGCCAGCAATGGAAACACCAGGTGAGGGCCAGCTTGCCTTGGTATATTTTGAATGCAGAATCTCCGGACGAGAGGAAGCATTGGCTAGAACAGGGGTCAGCAACCCGCGGCTCTGAAGCCGCATATGGCTCTTTCATCCCTCTGCTGCAGCTCCCTGTTGCTTGTCTGCTCCACAATTGATAGGGCTTTCGGTTAGGACAGGTAGAGGAAAAAGGATGCCGCACTAGGAGGAGACTCTATGGTGGGGGAACGGGACTTCCCCCATTTTCGGACTTCCTGTACTTCCCGTAGGCTTTTTTTTAGCCCTCCCCAGGGTCTGGAGGCTTTCCTCGAGCCTCCGGGAGGACGAAAACGGCCTCCCCTGGGCTCTGGAGGCTCTCCAGAGGCTGGAAATGTGCCTGTTTCTGGACTTCCGGAACTTCCGGTAGGCCCGTTTTTCACCCTCCCAGAGCCTCCGCACATGCCCTACACTTATCTGGCATCCAAAATGGGCTGCATGGAGACTCCAGGGAGGGGCGGGGAGGGTTGGGCAGGGTCAGCCAGTCCTTGCAACTACCGGTTTGGCGAACCAAATTAAAATTAACAGCCGGTTTGGCTGAACCGGTCTGAACCTGTTGAATCCCACCGCTGCCCAGCACCCAGATTGGAACCCCATGACCGTGGGGGAAGCTATGACAGTCCTAAGCATAAGGACCAGTCCTAAGGCACTTTTTTCTGGGCCATCAAAACTTCAAACAATTGCCAAACAAATGGTCGTAAATCAAGGACTTAACCTGTACAGCTATTGCTAAGGAGGTGTGGGGGGGGCATTTAAACTGTTCTGATGCTAACGCTGGCTTCCTCATCTCGGTCACAGCAAACTTGTCAAAGAAAAAGAGGACAAAGAGAAATGCGGGAAGGAGAAAGAGAAGGAGAAGAAAGAGAAAGTCCCGGCTGGCACTCCTGAAGCTAAATTACTCGGAAAAGACGGGAAGGATAAGCCAAAGGAAGAGAGGGCGAACAAAGAAGAGAAGGCACGAGAAGCTAAGGAAAAGACACCGAAGGCTGACAAAGAGAAGGAGAAAATCAAGAGAGAAGAGAAACCATTCAAAGAGGAAAAATCCAAGATTATTGTGACCAACGCTGAGTCCAAATCAATGGCGGAAAAGGAGAGAGAGAAGGAGCCATCAAGAGAGAGAGAAGTGACCAAGGAGATGAAATCCAAGGAAGTCATTAGAGGAGGAGGAGGAGGCGGCGGGGGAGGAGGAGGAGGAGGAGAGAAGATTCCAATTGCTGGGTCCTTGAAGTCACCTGTTCCCCGGTCAGAAACTTCAGATTCCGAAAGGGGTAGGTTGACGCTCTTTTTTTAAAAATTTGGATCAGCGTTGAATTTTCATAGGAAAAGCCCATGACACTGAACACAGATCCCTTACCCACAGCTGCAGCAGCGAGTTCCATGGAAAGTCCAAAGTCACCCAGCCGGATTTCATGCCTAGGCGGGACTAGAACTCACCATCTCCTGGTGATTGGCCCAAAGTCACCCAGCCGGCTTTCTTGCCTGGCAGGACGAACTCACCATCTCCTGGTTTCTACCTGCTGCCTTAATCACTAGAGCAAACTGGCTTCAATCCATCTCAATACTTCAATCCCATTTCCTAAGGAGGGACTAGAACTCACCATCTCCTGGTGATCGGCCCAAAGTCACCCAGCTGGCTGCATTCCCTAAATGTGGGACTAGAATTTACTGTCTCCCTGGTGATTGGCCCAAAGTCACCCAGCCGGCTTTCATGCCTAAAGTGGGACTAGAACTCACCGTCTCCTGGTGATTGGCCCAAAGTCACCCAGCTGGCTTTCATGCCTGGCAGGATGAACTCACCATCTCCTGGTTTCTAGCCTGCTGCCTTAATCACTAGAGCAAACTGGCTGTCAATCCATCTCAATACTTTGAGCTTCACCCGGTTTGGGAGGGCGGCCTCACCTAGTTAGCCGATCGACAACTTTTAAGCCAGCTGTTGATGTGGCAAAGAAATTCGGCGCCGCATTTCATAGACTGTCCGACACGGACACCCGATTCATGCCAACTGGACAGGTTTAACCTCCCAACTTCTCTCTTTGTGTCCCCCCCCCCCCCACTCTTGTCTTTCAGAACAAAAACGTCGCAAAATAGATACCCATTCTTCTCCATCACATTCCTCAAGTGTAAAGGTTAGTATGGCCTGAGGAAGGCATCGCCCATTTTCTAGGCTCTCATCTAACACGGAATGCCAGTGTCGACTTCCTTCCTTCAAGTCTGGTGCCAAGTTGAAGCCTTTGGAGGTTATATATATAAGATATATATATATATATATATGTATATTTTTCCCCGATGCATTTTAAAAAAAAAACAAAATGCATTCCTTTTGATGGATCGGTGGACTCTTTTTCTTTTGCCATTTTCAAGAGTAAATAAAATCAAAACCTCTTTTTTTATTATTATTATTATTAGAGGAAAAAGAAAAAAAAAGAAAGAAAGAAATTAAAGCTTCAAGGACCTAGCACAAAGCGTTGTAAATAGAGTATGGAAATATCAAGATTATTTTTTTCGTATTTTTTTTTTTATAAAAAAAAAAGTGCAACCCAAGCCAGAAGTGCCTCGCCATTTTTAAACAGCCAGATATATATATATATACATACGTATATATACATATATATATGTATAGATTTTTGGAGTGCAGTGGTAGCTACAAGCCAACGAATCTCTCGCAGCACGCCGAGCGGAGCGTGAGGTTTTTTGTTTTTGGTGATTGTTGTTTTTTTCCTGCCTTGATCGGGAAGAATCGATCGGTTAACTTTGAAGAGTTCGCGGAGAAAACCGGGAGAGCGGAGGAGTCTTACTATATACCTTCATCGGGCTGCCTGTTGAACGTCTTCCAGCCGAGCCGAGAGAAGCCTTTGAAAAGTCTTGAAAAGTTCTGGTTTCTTTTTTTTAAAAAAAAAATAAGTCGCCTTGATGATCAATTCTCCTGTAGTTGTGTATATCCAGGCAGCCCGCGTGCCGACCTCCTTGCGAGGTTTGTTTATATTACACTGAGTTACCACCCTGTTGAGCCCTGCGCTCTGCGTTAAACCAGATGTGGCAGCCCAACCTTCCACTCAAGAAGCCGAGAAAAAAAAAAATCCAAAAAAAACACCCGGCAGCCGAGCACAGCACAAACCTCTAAAAAAAAAAAAAAAAAAAACACCCCGTCCGGGCTGCAGCCTTCTTGGAAGACTCAGGGTAGCAATTCCTTGCTCCGTGTTTTATTTCCTTTTTTTTTTTTTTATTTCCTAAAAAAAACAAAACAAAACAAAAAAAACCCCACCCATCCTCATGGATTCTTTGAGTTTGCAGTACGTTGAAGCGTTGCAACTGTAAGTTTAACCGATCACTTCGTCCGCGCACTGGGCCGCGTGGGGATGTCGCTCTTGACTTGCCAACGTTTTAAAGAGAGAGAGAAAAAAAATAGTTATTTATTTATTTGCTTGTTTTTTGTTTTTGTTTTTAAATGCTCTTTTAAGAAGTTGGCTTGGAACGGAGAATCGCTAGAACAGGGTCCTTTGCACCGTGGTTCTAGAACAAGCCTTGATTCTGGGGCGGGGGTGCTTTGCATTTCGGGGAGCCAGTCGTAACGACAGCCAGATGTGGTGGGAAACCCATCTGTCATTTCTAGTCCAATATTAGGGTTTTTTTTAATGTTTGCTTTCAAGAGAGTAGGAACCGTGTGGGAGAATAAGGCCACCTTAATTAACCCGAAATTGCAATTTCTCCCAATCATTGGGCTAGAACTTAGATCGGAGCGGTGCGGTGGCCTAGAGGTGGAGCTCTCGCTTCACAATAAGGAGGCTGTGAATTCGATCCTAGGTAGAGGCGGATATTTCTCTCTCTGGGCACCGTGAGAATGTTATCTGCCGAACAAAACTCCGCATTGGCGACAGGAATAGCATCCGGCCAGTAAACACTCTGCTAGCTCCATTCAGTTGCCCAGACTCCATCCCGCAAGGGATTATGGGGGTCATTAAACAAAGATGATGACGATTGGTCTAGAACTTAAGATAGTTTCGGAAGAGAATAGATAGTTGTGGGGGGGGATGTCGTTTTTTTAAAAAAACCACAAAGAGCACATAATGCTTGGTAACTGATTTGATCGATGTGTAATTAGCTTAGGCGTGTGCATACAATTGTTTTAAGAAAGTATTAATGCTGTGTTTAATGCCCGGAGGGGGAAGCTTGTTTTTTTTTTTGTTTGTTTGTTGTTTTGAGGTTCAGCCCCGATTGTCCCAGGCTCCAGTGGTTTCTGAGAACCCTCTGAGCTTACGTGTCGTCTCCGTTCATTTCCCACAGGACAACCTCAGCGAACTCAAGGATTCCGCAGTTAAGGTTTGAGTCTTTCTCCCCCCCATCCCAACCCTCTCTTCACCTTCCGATTTTTAACAATTGCTTTTGCAGTGACGGCGAGGTCCTTCAAAGCTTTGGCGAAGGAACGCAGCTTAGCTTGATTTATTTATTATTTATTAGTCATATTTCTATGCCGCCCACTCGCCGAGGACTCTGAGCAGCTTACAACAATCGACAGTATACTAAATAGCATATTGCCCCCAACAATCTAGGTCCTCATTTGGCCAAGTTGTAAGCGGCATACGGTTGTGGCCGGGGGCGTTGTGTTCTTTTGGCCGGCGGGCAGCTTTTCACAGGCTGCGCCAGACACTTGGCGGTTCCTTACAGCGAAGACTTACTGCAACTTAACAACTGGTCATTTAGGGACAGTTCGAAGCTACAACAGCTCTGCAAAAAAATGACTTTACGGCCATTGGAAACTGATCAAGGAGAGAAGCAACCTCGAACTAAGGAGAAATTTCCTGACAGTGAGAACAATTAATCAGTGGAACAACTTGCCTCCAGAAGTTGTGAATGCTCCAACACTGGAAGTTTTTAAGAAGATGTTGGACAACCATTTGTCTCAAATGGTTGTCCAATCTATTGTTGTCCAATAGTTGGACCAGAAGACCTCCAAGGTCAACTCTTTTTCTGTTCTGTTATTTTTCATACTTAACAATCGTTGGAGCATCTCCATGGTGACGTGATCAAAATTCATGCACTTGGCAAACGACTCATATTTATGACGGTTGCAATGTCCCAGGATGTATGTGTGTGTCTGTCACAGGATCATCTTTTGCATCTTTTGGTCCTCTAGTCCAACCTCCTGCTCAAGCATGAGACCCTATCCCAGAGGTGGGCAAATGTGGCTCTTTTACAACCTGTGGACTTCAACTCCCAGAATTCCTGAGACACCCCTGCCTTATCCCAGTGATGGTAAACTTTTTCAGCACCGAGTGCCCAGAACCTTTTCAGGAACATGTGTGAATGTGCACGCGTAGGAGCACCATAAACCCGAGGACCAGTTGGCCGGCGCATGCATGCTTGATTTTTGGCTGTTTTTGGCCATTTTTGGCCAGAAACACAGCCTGAAAATGGCCTGAAAACAGCCCAAAAAATGGCCTGTTTTTTGGCCAGTTTTGGCCACTTTTCAGGCCGTTTTCTGGTGCTCCAGCACCCGCACGCGTGCCAACAGAGAGGGCTCTGCATGCCACCTCTGGCGCAGGGGTGGGTTCTAAATTTTTTTTACTACCGGTTCTGTGGGCATGGCTTATTTTGTGGGTGTGGCTTGGAGGTCGTGACTAGATGGGCGTGGCTAGCTGGTCAGAGTCATTTCTGGAAGGTCCTCGCGCTTACGACCAGTCCTCGCACTTACGACCCGACTCATTTGTTTGCTTTTAACACTGATCAGCTGTAGGACGGCCTTTTGAAGCCCCGCGGCAAGAGTTTAAACAGTTTTTTTTCCTCTAATCATCAGCTGGGACTCAGGAGGAAGCAATAGATTGGGGGTGGGACCAAATAAAAGGTAAGAATAACATGGGGGGGGTGGGAGGGCAGGGGGGGGAGAACCGGTTCGGTGACGTCATATCGTCACCGCTACCGGCTCGGCTGAACCGGACCGAACCGGGAGGAACCCACCACTCCTCTGGCGCATGTGCCATAAGTTTGCCATCACAGCCCTATCCCATTCCAGACAAGTGGCTGCTGTCCAGTCACTTCTTAAAAGCTTCCAGTGATGGAGCACCCACAACTTCCGGAGGCAACTTCTCTTCCACTGGTCCATTGTTCTCACTGTTGGGAAGTTTCTCTTTAACTTTTAACGGGTTGCTTTTCTCCTTGATTAGTTTCCATCCGTTGCTTCTTGTCCTTCCTTCAGGTGCTTTGGAAAATAGCTTGACCCCCTCTTCTTCATGGCAGCCTGTCAAATACTAGAACACAGATATCATGTCACCCCCTAGTCTAGTGATGGGGAACCTTTTCGGCACCGAGTGCTTGAAAAGGTCACTCACGGAAACGTGCGCACGCTCATCGGGGCCGCGCTCCAGAAAAGTCGAACTTCCGGGTTCTAGCAGGCATGCGCACCCGACGATCAGCTGGCTGGCGCACATGCTTGCCCCGGTTTTCGGCACTGCCACGCACGTGAAGGACAGCTGATTGTCGCACACACATACGGGCCAGAAACCCGGAAAACAAACTGGCAAGGCCGCACATGCTGGACGACATGGCTTTGCGTGCCACTTTGGGCACGCGTGCAATAGGCTCACCATCACGGCCCTAGTCCTCCTTTTCTCTAGACTAGACATACCCAAGAAGAACATCTGCCACCCACAATAACCTCTTTGTCATTAGTGGCAGCATCACCCCACTGGGAGATGGGGTGAGCTAGTAGAAGGCACAGTCTGCTGCAGTTTCTCTCAACCATAGGCATTTTAAGATATGTGGACTTCAATTCCCAGAATTCTCCAGCCAGCAAGACCCAGGAGCATAATGATGACAGAGGGCAGTATGTCTGAATTTCTGCAACGTGACATGGGACCCATTTTTATTTTTATTTTTTTCATGTTTAGGATATTACAAGGGAGGCCTAAACGAATCAGTTGGTCCTTCAAACCTCAGCAACTGTTTCTGTCATTGTGGCCAAACACAGGGTTTATGATTTCATTAGTTGTTTGAAATAATATTTGGAACATGACTGAATGCCTCTTTTCATCCTCGTTTTTCTCTTTATTACAGACTTAGGAAATTTAAGGTGCCTTCAAAGCAATCTCAGTGCTCTTTTGAGAGGGGATTTCATTGTCATGGTTAACAAAACAAAAAAAAAATTACGAGTTTCTCGGTTGCGTTTTGTAATCCTTTACTGTATTTCCAGCATGATATGAGACAATCTACCCGGGAGAGAGAGAGAGAGAAAGAGAGAGAGAGAGAGAAATAGACCAGCATTTTGGTGCAAGATGGAGTGAATTGCCTTTGGAAGCGATGTAGTAATTTTTGATCTTGCTTTTGACTTAACAGCACTACGTTAACCACTCCGCTCCGGCATTGTCTAAAAGTAAGGAGAGAGAAGTAGACAAGAAAGATTTGGACAAATCAAGGGAAAGATCCCGAGAGAGAGAAAAGAAAGATGAAAAGGAAAGGAAAGACCGAAAAAGGGTTTGTGATTTCTGCATACTCGTGACACTGAATGCTAAGATATGACCCATTCTCTCCAGCCTTTTGAATCAAAATTTCTTTGAGGAACTGTCTAGAAACAGGCGTGTCAAACTCAATTTCATTGAGGGCCGCATCAGGGTTGTGTTTGACTTCAGGGGGGCCAGGGTGGGCGGGGCCAGCTCGACGTCACTCGTGTCAGTGGCACCTCTGGTGGCCAGGCAGGGCTAGGGGATGCAATGACCTCCTGTAGCCCTCTGCCAGCGAAAACGGAGCTTGGGGGTCCCGCACGCATCCCCCCAGACCCTGATTTCAGCCATGATGGCCTCCTGGAGCCCTCTGCCAACGAAAACTGAGCTTGGGGGGACACACGCATCCCCCTGGACCCATCAGCCATGATGGCCTACTAGAGCCCTCTGCCAGGGCTCTAGTATGGAGCTCCATTTTCACTGGCAGAGGCACCGCGGGCCGGTCCTTCGCTGTTTCTGGGGCGACCCCGCGGGCCAGATCTACGCACCCCGTGGGCCGGATCTGGCCTGCGGGCCTTGAGGTGGACACCCCTGGTCTAGAAGCTTATCATTAAAAAAAGAACTGGGGGAGGAAGAAAACCACAGCTTCATCAACTCAGCTCATTTTAAGCCTAATATTTACAAACTCGGGTTTCTAAAAAAAAAAAAAAAACACCTTGTTTTGATGTTGTACCCATTTAGGATCATTCGAACAATGACCGCGAAGTTCCCCAAGATTCAGCCAAGCGTCGGAAAGAGGAAAACGGAACAAGTACGTCTTCTCCTGCTGCTTCTTCTCCCCCTTGATCATACCTTGTTGATGTTCTGACCTAGCCTTCCCCAAAAAGTACGAAGCAGATTCTTGGTCCCGACAAAACCCCTTTTATTCAACGAATGTGAATTCCTCTCATTCACATTCAGCAAAGGCCAGGCAAACAGTCTTTCAAAGGTGAAGTTATGACCACAGACCTTATCTATCTTGGAAAGCTGCCATGTAAATATTTTCCAAATGCAGTGCTGTGCGAGGAATGACTTGGCACAGAGTCTCAGATTCAGGGACAGATCTTCACACTCCTGAAATGAACTAACGAAATAACAAACGAACTAATTGTTTCCTGCAATAGCCCACTCTCCCCGTTCGCTCCTCTTTTGTTTCCTATGGGAGGGGTCGACCACCTCCAAGGTGTGGCTTTACTCCCAAATCTACCCTGCTTTCTTAATTGTTCTTGTCTTCTGGCAGCTCTGTGCTTGTGCACACTGGGAACAGGCTCCAGCTGTTCCTCTGCCTCACTGCTGTCTAGCTCCAAAGGCAGCTGAGAACTGCCAGACGGCCTTGGCCCCACCTCTGCCTCCAACACAGAGCCCTCATCCGAGCCTTCCCCAGCTTCCAGGACTGGCCCATGATCCTCCCCAACCTCCTCACTGTCCGATTCTGGCAGGCCAGAACAGTTGGCTCTGTTAAGGATATTGTTGTGCTAACCAACCAGCAGAGCAAGTGCACAGAGAAACGGTACTGAGAGCAATGAATACAATACATACAAACTGGTTTAACAAAGCTTTTACTTTGTAGTGAAGAACAGTTGCATAGTCTTTTAGTCAATCCAAGTCTTTAGCCATTCAAATCAGTCTGGAGTTTCAGAAATCTTCTTACCATACAAAACAGCAGTAGGTAATAAACAGCAATTCAACGCTGGTAACAAATCACGATGGTAGCAGATCCATCCACGATGAGAGCTCCTTCGCACACGATGGTAACAGTTCCAATCAACAAGTCAACCAACAATGACTATAGCTCGGCTCTCTTCTTATATACAGTTTACACTAGTAATTATCCACTTAAGATAAGTGGAGTCAGCAGTGCAATGACTCAACAGTACAATTAGGATAATTGGAGTCAGCAGTCAGTCAGCAGTCAATTACAATGACTCATCAGTACAATGACTCAGCATTACATCTTAAAGTTACAGAATTCATTTAAAGTTATAGCACACATATATTGCCTGGACAACCTGTTAGGCTTACACCATATCCTAACAGGCTCCATGGATACCTTACTGACCGTATTTGTTTGTTCTGCCCAGCTGGTTCCTCCAAGCACAGTAAGAGTGAAAGTCCTTCCAACTCCCCCCCTCGTTCAAATGAGAAGGAGAAAGAGAAGAACAAGTCAAAATCTTCAAGCAAGGAGAAAAGCGATTCCATCAAAGTTGAAAAGATGGAGAAAAGCTCTTCCGGAAGCAAAAAGGTAAAGCACTTGTTTTATTTATTTTTTTCCCGGTTGACGGTAACAAGATATCTTCCTTTCATTTGATTAGGTTGAGTATTGGACTTTCGGTACCTTCTGAAGTTTATTTTTCCTCTTCTAGACCAGAATTAGTTAACCAGAACACCCTTAATAGGCTTGGGACTAGGTTAATGTGGAGAGTTGTTAAAGAAGATGATGTTAAGTATCATTGTTAAATATTATTATCGGGACGTAGTGGCTCAGTGGCTAAGATGCTGAGCTTGTCGATCGAAAAGGTCGGCAGTTCAGCGTTTCGAATCCCTAGTGCTGCGTAACGGGGTGAGCTCCTGTGACTTGTCCCAGTTTCTGCCAACCTAGCAGTTCGAAAGCATGTAAAAAATGCAAGTAGAAAAATAGGGACCACCTTTGGTGGGAAGGGAACACTGTTCTGTGTGCCTTTGGCGTTGAGTCATGCCAGCCACATGACCACAGAGATGTCTTCAGACAGCGCTGGCTCTTCAGCTTTGAAACTGATATGAGCACCGCCCCCTAGAGTCGGGAACGACTAGCACATATGTGTGAGGGGAACGTTTACCTTTTACCTTTTATTATTGTTATTATATTATATTATTAATATTATGCTGATGAATACTAAAACAAATATGTGGATTATGATTGTTTAAAAATAGCTGTACCCAGATCACACACTGTTGGATGGAAATTGAATGTTATATAAATAAAACCAATAAAATATGGGGAAAAAATAGGTTTGGGACTACCGAATGAATGAATAGGAATGCAAAAATGTAGCGTTTTGTTTCGGAAAAACAAATTCACTCGTTTATACCGTTTCCCCCAAAATAAGACATCCCATGATAATAAGCCCAATCGGGCTTTTGAGTGCATGGCAATAAAGCCAAGCACTTTTTTCAGGGTTCAAAAAAATATAACACAGGGTCTTATTTTCAGGGAAACACGGTACCAAAATTTTTTTAAAAAACAATCTGATTCATACAATACCTGCCTAAAATATGATTAAGTCACATTTAATTTTTCCCCCTTGTCTCCTTTTTGTCTAGGAGTCCAGGCACGATAAAGAAAAACCAGAGAAAAAAGAAAAACGGGATAGTACTGGGAACAAAGAAGAAAAGAAACAATATCCTTTTTGCTGTGCTATCGTTCGAATTGGTTGAAATTTGTTTTCTAAGCATTTCTTTAAAAAAAAAAAAAAATTGATTCCCTTAACGTTAGATCCACCCATAAATCGTCAGACAAGCACAGATAATGAGCACTGTTCTGACCAAGGTGAGCATCATTACTTTTGGACTTCTCATTGGAAATGAAAGCAGGAAGTTGCACCTCATTCCTGTTGAGAATGCCTTTGAAGGAATTGACGGTTCTGGGTAAATTAGGTGAGACCTACAAGAAGGTTCTCCATTAATAAAGTTGGAGTTTCTGTGTGAAGAGACATGAATGAGACCCGAGATGATGATATAAAGGCCTTGTATTTAAATCAAAAGGTAAATTTCGGGCTTCAATATTTTTGATAGTCCATTCCCATAATTGCCATATTTTTTGGACTATAAGATGCACTTTTTTGTCTTCCAAAAGGGGGTGAAAATGTCTGTGAGTCTTATAGACGTGTTTTTTTCCGAAAAAACAGGCCGAAAAAAGCCTTGAAAATGGGCCAAAAAAAGCCTCGAAAACGGGCTGAAAAAAGTCTCCAAAGCAGGCTGAAAAAAGTCTCAAAAACAGGCCAAAAAAAGCCTCAAAAATGGGCTAAAAAAGTCTCAAAAACAGGCCGAAGAAAGGCTGGAAAAGGGTCGAAAATGGGGCGCGCGGAACTTCAGAACCAGATTGTAAATCCGTTTTGGAGGGATCTGTTGTATCTTCAGATGGCCTCTAAGTGACCACAGTCCTAAGCAGAGGACAACCTGCACCACCTTAGGTTAAAGTGTTGAAGCAGATGTTAGGCAAATATCTGTAGGGAATGAACTACGACAATCCGGAGGAAGAAACGAGTTGCTCTCCAGAATACAACTACACGTAATGTGAAGAATCAGGACCATGTGTTTAAGCCTACACTCCAGAATCTAATCAACTAACAGTCATTACTAAATTGGTGCCAGATAAGAATCAACAGAATGCAAGGGGGAGCTGGACTTAGAGATTTGTGGACATCTAACGATTCTAGGCTAAGTCCTCTCTTGACTCTGCCCCCCAGGTTCTGTCTTTTCTTCTATACTTCAGCTGCATATTAAAGGTAAAGGTTCCCGTGCACATGCATTCTAGTCGTTTCTGGCTCTAGAGGGCGGTGCTCATCTCTGTTTCTAAGCTGAAGAGCCAGCGCTGTCCGAAGACGTCTCCGTGGTCATGTGGCTGGCATGACTCAACGCCGAAGGAACACGGAACGCTGTTACCTTCCCACTTGCTTTCGAACTGCTAGGTTGGCAGAAGCTGGGACAAGTCATGGGAGCTCACTCCATTACGCTAGGGATTCGAACCGCTGAACTGCCGACCTTCTGATCGACGAGCTCAGCATCTTAGCCGCTGAGCCACCGCATCCCCCCTCAACCGCATATTAGCTCTACTTTATTGAGTGAATTGGATCAGTGGTGGACATTAAGCTTATTTCAGCTTCTGCTTCTTTCTTAAAACATAGTAATTGCACTTCCCTCTCTTTTTTTAGGTGAGGTTCGGACAAGAAGATGGTGAGCTGCGACCAGACATGAATTTTGATTGCACAGAAGATTGTGAATGACGTGGACCTGTCTCCATCTCCTTAAATTATTCACCTCTCGGCTTTATTTCTCTCCCGTTGCTGAAGATGTTGATGGTTGAGTTGTACATTACTGTAATTTTAACTCGTCGCTTAAGTTTCTTAAAAACATTTATTTTCAGTACCTGGCTGGAAGTGTTACCTGTTCCATATTTTTTAGCACAATGTGCTGCCAACAGTTGCCATCGTTGCAAATGAGGGTTTTTGTTTTTTTTCCACATGTACAGAGTTCTTCCTTTAGGTTATCAAAAATGCTTCCTCCGTTTAGCCATTTTATTATTTTTTTTATTTTCCTTTTCAATTGGAAATGCGTTCTTTTAGGTGTTTGGGGAAAAAAAGAAAAAAAAAAACCCAACAACAAATAAAACCGTTATTGAAAGTTTGGATTTTTACCTCATTTAAAGAAAAAAAAATCCAGTTTTTATTTATTGTTTTTAATATTGATAACTAAAACCGTGGGCGGGATAGGGCACTGTTTTCAAGCAATGCTAAGGAAAGTATTTGTATATTATGTGCACAATAGTAAACTTGTTTAAAAAAGAAAGAGAGAGAAGAAAGGAAACAGAGGGATACCCCATACTCTGTTTGTTCCGCACGATGATCCTTAACATTTGTCATAATGTTTTTAAAAGAAATGGGGAAACTGCTTTCTTCCGAACATGAATTCAGACCAATTAAGTTTCAATATTACAGCTACAGGAACTTTGTATCGGTGGGATTTCAGTCCCAAAAAAAAAATTTAAAAAAATTAAAAAAAAGTTTCACAATGACCTTTTTAAAAAAAAAAAACCAACCAACAAAACAATTTTTTTATCTGAAATTCTACCAAGTGTAATCTTTTTTCTAAATAAAAATTAGTTTTCTCAATGGGTCGTAAATCCTTGTGTGTGCGTTGCTTATTCTGGTGTTTTGGCAGGGCTGGATGGAATTCAAGCGGTGCCGTATTTCTTTTCTTTTCATGTTTTTTATTTATATAACATTCAATTTCCATCCAACAGTGTAATCTGGGTGCAGTTATTTTTAAACAATCATAATCCACATATTTGTTGTAGTATTCATCACCATAATACCAATACTATAATAATAATATTTAACATCATCATCTTTAACAACTTTCCACATTAACATTTCCTCTTTTTATATCTCCTCCTTTCTAACTTCTGTTTCTATTGTCTAGCCATTGATAGAATACATCCCATATCAAAAAAATACTCAGCTTCTTCTTTATCCTTAATAAGCATTAGTCTATCCATTTCTGCGCCTTCTAATATTTTCTTAATTACATACCCTTAGACGGGAATCTCATCATTTTTCCATTGCTGTGCAAATACAATTCTAGTTGCAGTTAGTATACGCAAGATCAGATATATAATCTTTTTATCATATTTTTCCGGTAGAATGCCCAACTAAAATATCTCTGGTTTCAAGTCTATGTGTTGCTTTATCATTTTTTCCAACCAAGTATGTATTTTTATCCAGTATTTTTTAGTTTTTGGGCATGCCCACCACATATGGTAGTATGAACCAGATGATTGATTACACTTCCAACATTTAGCAGATCTATCTTTATATATTTTTGCCAGTCTTGCCGGTGCAAAATGCCATCTATAAAACTTTTTATGTAGATTTTCTTTATATGCAGTTGACAAAGTCAATATTTCTGTCCCATACTTTCTGCCATTAATCTAATTCTATTGCATATCCAAAGTTTTTAACCCAGGCGATCATTGTCTCCATACTTAATAGGTAACAATATAATTTCTTTATCAGTTTATCATCTGTTCCAGTTAATATCTGGTCTAATTCTGTTAACTCTTTATTAAAACCATACATTTTAGCATCTTTCACGTAACGGGATTGTATCTGCATATGTGGCCAGTGCAATGTCTATCCCAGGGGTCTGCAACCTTAAACACTCAAGAGCCATTTGGACCTGTTTCCCACAGAAAAGAAAACTCCGGGAGCCACAAAACTTTTCCCGTGCCTGACTATTTCCTAAGAGGCCACAAAACTAGCATATGTAGTTGAATTAAACATTCTGTTTTCTTCTGAAACTTTTCTTGGATTTCCCTTGGCTACTAAGTTCCTGTTTAGTTTTTAATTCCCCTTTGTCAGTCAAAATATCTTTTTGAATCTTTTAAGCAGTGCCGTATTTTGATTCTCTTGTCTTCTGTTTTTTTAACTTTTTAAAAAATTTTGCAGGTTGCCTTTTACCGGTTGTAGCAAACTTCCCAAAGTTTGGGTTGGTGTTGCATTTCCTGATATATATTTTTTTTCTTTGAGATGTCTGAAAAGATGTTTAGAGCGATATCCTAATAACAGCCGAGGTGGCGCAGTGGTTAGAGTGCAGTACTGCAGCTATTTCAGCTGACT